AAAAAAAATTGAGTAATGTACAGCCAAACAATGCAGCTTTGAATACTTCTATGCTTGGCCGAATATGATTTTAATTTTATCATAGTACGTCCAACTTGACTCAAAGAATAACGACAGTAACTCAAGAGAAAGGGAAAGAAACGTGAAGTGGAAGCCGCTTCTTCTCATTATATTAAATAACAGTTATTCTCACAATTGAAGTTTTGAGTCATTTATCACCAGCGCAACGGTCACCTTATTACATGCTCTTTTGGATCAAAAAGGATCTCGTAATCTCCTTTTTCCACCGTCGTTTCCGGATCGAACCATGTAACATTTCTACTCGTTTAATTACATAACCACAACAAAGTTTTTTGTTTACAATTTCTAGCAATGACTAGCGTATTATGAAGGGTAGGTGGGGTAGGGGTAGGTGAATGTCTATGAAGAAAACCTTGTATCATCTAATGCTCACTGAGGTTTTACTCAGTGAGAATGGAATACAAAACGAAAGGAGTTTGTAATGAGTGATTAACCCTTGTCTTTCTCAAGGAGCAGTTTGAAACAGGTACCTTTCAGTTACTTTTGTGTATCTTCCAACAACCAAAAGGTACTGAAGAAATTTTGAGAATACAAAACTTTATAGTATCAGACGTAGATTCAGCGCTCGTGTATCTGCACTGGTTTGCGCCCAAGAACCGTGTGGGTGCAATCATTGAGTGTATGAGTTCCGTGATACTAGAAAATTCGACATACCAACATCAGTAACCATCATATTTTATCACAAGTGTTCTCTTAAGCATATGTTTACGGATCATCCCCACTAAGATCTTTGCGCTTTGCAAGATAAGGAGATTCTTTGCGGTGTTAAGGCAAGGTTGTGGGTGTTATCAGGAGCACAGCACAAGGACTAAGCTTTGATTACCAAACTTTCTCAAACCTATTCCCGCTCATTCCTTATTTACGCGATGTTCCGTTGCACCATCAATAAACTATTGAGGATCTGAACTTGGATGAGCTGCCTGAAGCAAGTTTATCTACATCTCCGTTTTCAGGAAGACGAAAACCGTTATTCGATGGACGTAATCAAGCTCTCATCACCATCAAAGATACGAGGGAGATGCAAAAATGTGAGGGTGCCAAATTCAAGCAGCGTGTGAAAGCACCTGGCTGTCTTACGAAGGTTATTGTAAACAGGTACGCTTCCACAGCGTTCAAAAATTATCAGAAGACGTGCATCATCTACTGACCAGAATGAGAGAAATTCTTCAGTTTACTGTGTTTACTCCTGTTCGTACTTCTGTAAGTCACTGCTCATGCCACTCAAATATTTGTATGAAACAACATCATTATTTTTGCACTAAGTGTCATATAACATCTACTCATGTTGTAAGATTAAGGGTTTCTCTTTCTCATTGATCTGTAGCAGTACATTCGACAATGTCGCGTCAAAAATACGTTTAGGAAGAAATTCGGTCTAGTCGTTTTGTTCTGATGTCGTGCTTGTAAAGATTGTTAGAAACGCACATATAAGCTCAAATAAAGGTGCTATTTTGAATTCCAGCTACGCCTTGTATTCTGCGAAGTTTGATGTTTGCACCTAATTTTCTGTATATTTCGTTGTGCAAGGATTATTCCCTAAGGTTTCTTGCAAAGCTTCTTGGACCTGCGCTGCAGTACTACACATAGTAGGCTGCTGTCAGAGTCCTGTATCTGTCAATATAATTTGTTGGCATTCCTTTCTCGTCCTATCGGCGACTCTAAAAATGGCTACAGATAAGCAACACTCGCGTCATTGATTCTTCAAGGGTTGATCCAGGATACATAAATTCGCTGAAAAGGTGCCAAACAAATACTGCTTTACAAATCTGCATGACTTTCAACTTTTTTTTAAAATTTGCATGCAACATAGTTTGAACCTCGCAAGACTCATCGTTTCTCTCGCTCGCGTTTTTTGATCAAAGATTTGCTTTCGATCTGAACAGCTTTGACTATTATAACGCTAACCGCATTTGGACCCATTTCCTATCGTCTATTGCTTTATAATGTCACTGCTTTGAGACTTGCGAAGAAGCAGCCGCTGCATAATTGTTATGCGTGAGCTAAGAGTGGATAATGTTCGCATCTGCTGATTTGGACTCGAAAGTAGAGCTGTCCCTTTGTCATGCCAGTTCCAAGCAGTCTCTGAAACATGTACCTGCGCTGGCTGTGCCAATTCGCATACTTTATTTTCCAAAAGATGAATCAAATGATAGTCGCATGAGGGACTTTTAGATATTAAATCCCTATGTTCGAAACACACACAGATTATGTACATTATGTCCGTTGAACAGAAATAAAACTTAGTAAAAGGTTCAGTCTGAAGTTATGCTGTTTGTTCGAGCGCATGAAAACAATACACGTTTATAACAGCTCTAGTCTGTACTTTCTACATGCATGCCTTCCTTATAAGAAGCAAATTTTTTTCATACCAATCGTTGCTGGCTTTAATATCCCCATACGATACACAATTGGGTGTTCACATCCAGAAGTAAAGATGTTTAATGGATACAGATTGACTTTGCTCACTTATGAGTATTTGAAAATAGTCAGCGTTGGAGAAAATCAAATGAAATGCAAAAAAAGTTTATACGCCAGTGGTACCCCGTATGATCTACCTCTTGTTTTGCAGATTCTGCCACGGCACCTGCCCTTCCTACTTCATTCCAAGAATGAACGGGAAGATGCTGAAGGCCAGGTTCAAATCCTGTGCCGCATGCGCTCCCAGAGATTACGATGCTATAGATGTGACGTTGGATTGTCCGGGACAAGATCCACCACAGGTCACAAAGACAATCATAAAAGTGAGCTTGTACGCCTACATGATGAATGTAAAGCATAGAAGATTTTTAGATAAAGAGGTGCGAATGCATTGACCTGGATTTATCGACTCACTTTCGATTGTAGCATTGGCATTTCTCATTTGAGGACTACAGCAGTACATGCCGAAAAGTCCGACGATGTGAATTTTGTGTCCAGTCCACACGTCGTATTGCGATGAAGCAGCAGTACGAACACATCAGCATGTTCATAAACGCGCTTTCTCATCATAGCAAGACAGCTTGTAACTGCGTGAAGAACTGCCAAATCAAGCAAGCGTTAGCGCTGTAGCCAAGCTTTGTACTTGCACCACTCGCGGCCGAGTCGGCCATTCTCGGATGTCAGTAAAGTAGTCCTAGCTCTATTTCCTTCTAGGCTTTTCTCTCCACTCTTATGATCTCATCTGCCATGTCAGCGACCACGTGACCTTTGCGTCACTTACACTCTTCTCGTTCTCCTCACTACTTTTGCAGCGCTGCACGGTCACGGGTCCAGCATTGATGTACTGTATGTCGTAGAACGGTGCTACATTTCTAGTGCTTCTCGTACGATTTTTATCCTAACATGTATACGAGGTTGTCAGAAGTGCAAAATATAATAAAAGTCATGACATTTCTGGTAATGCGCATCAATCACATAAAGGTGATGATCGAGGGGAGGCAATAGAAGTTCCCTTTGTTGAAAAAAGCGGTGGCGCCACATAAATCAAACTAAATCCGTCTGCAATAAACATCACTAAACGATGTAATGAGCCGTTGTCTGAGTCGATGACGAATCACCGATGCTGACAACTTAAGAAATCAAGAAGTTTCTGCGGTGACGTCATTACAAAACTAGATTGAATGCAGCAAACTATACATGTGCCAATGCACAGTTTCATTAGCATTTCTTTAGCCTATACAGATTCAACAAAGCGGAATAGTAACTGTACACGATATAGGAGGGAAGTAATTTAGGTTTCATGAATCAGCGTGATAAGCGTTACTCCACGTCTTTCGCTTGACAACCGCGAATTTAAGAAAGTGAAAACACGACAGAACCTCATGTCATGCAAGTAGAAAGCTGTAAATAGTGGTAGTGTTCATAAATGATGGAGAATAACAAGCCGAAAATGCGGACAGCTTCCGGAACATAATGAAATATAGATTTACATCCACTTCTCGCAAATCAGAACTAGTTTGAAGCCTGAAGCCTGAAGTTCATTCTTCCATCTGGTCGAAAATTGAAATGCGAAGAGATCTGTTGTACAAAGGTCACAAATAGTATGTTTAAGAAAACTTTTTTATAGTTTCCATGTTCCGTAATCATTAAACCTAGGCCTGAATAAAGGATCACCTAACAAACTATACACCGCAACATATTCGATCCTTTCTTATGTATGGTTCGTTCTGCAAATTGAGTATTGCTTTATCCTCAAAAATATACTGAACTAGTGAACGCTGGGAAAAATAAAATTATGTTCTATCGTTTCATAAATCACTTTTTACCTTCATCGTGCTTTTTGTATGAGCAGGAAAATAAGATATTGGAATCTTCCGCACCTCACTGCCAAGAGAAACAATCACTGAGAGTGGCGCTTTCACTTCTTCAACCAGATGATCTTGTTCAAGATTTTGATTCGTCAATTCTTTGATATCCGAGACAATAATTACAAGTTCTTTTTCTCTTTCACAATGTTAAGCCGAGGGTAGCTGTTCTTGGTAAGTCTTTTCATTTTGAGTCGTTTTCTTTGCTTTTTACTCGTTAGTATTTCCTCTCTCAAAAGTATACTCACATTTGGTTATTAAAATCTAAAGGACCCTCGCCCATTACGACTGATCGGATACTTGTGAAAAAAATCACCGCACTTTGCTGGAGTTCGCCAAACTCCGCGTTGCATCGCCTTATCTTGCTTCAGAGTGGACCAACTCTGAATACAAAAGAAACATTTAATTTAGCTCGACGGGATCTCCTTTCATAAAGACCTGTTTCGGCACGGTGGTAGGTCACGGTTCACATATCTTTTCAAATTCGTCTACTCTCTTACTCGTTGTGCCATGCATGAGTACTTTAAGAGATTTAACGGTGCTTTTGGATTCAGAATTGGTCCTCACTGAAGCAAGATATTGCGATGCAAGTTCGGCAAACAGCGAAGTCGGTGACTTTTTTTACATATACGAGCGTATTGTATGCGCTGGCTAGCTTGCCACTGACTATGCTTGACAATTTTTTTAACGCGAATTCAGAATTCAGTAGGCGACCGAACAGATTATTGTGAGCTGAGCGATTATAAAACAATCAGAAGTTTTCCTCATCGATAAGAGGATGTTGGAAGCTGATGTTCAAAATATAGTATGAATATTACTCAATATTACACCAAAGTTTCTAGAACGTCCAAATTTTTGATGAAATGAGTAAACATCACTGACAACTGATGAAGATTGAGAACATGGACTAAACTTTCGAATAGAACCTGGACTTTTGTGTGACATAGATTACAACGAGTCAATGAGTAATACATTTCCGGAAGTCGACTTCACGACTGAACTAGAAAGTTGGTTGGACACGTGTGCAGAGTCACAACATTGTAAGAAGAAGAAATGTTGAATTAAGACAATTGCTTTTTTTTAGCAGTGGCGCCAGAAACGCGATTTCAGTAAGTTCGTTCAGCACTAGATTTGAACGTAAACCACGATACTCAAACAACACCACATTTTCTGTAATTTCATAACTCAAATGAAAACAAGCTATTTGGCTTGAACTCTGCAACATAAAAAGCAAGGTTCCCCAACTTCAGATTTTCAACTTTGCTGTTCAGTCTCCCGAATTGACTAGAAATTCTCGAAGAGAATAGCTTTCAAAGATATCGACAAAGTTTATAATAAACGTGGTATTATTATGCCTATGTAATTGATTTTTCTTCCCCTTAGTCAACCATTTTAGATGTGTGAAAAA